GCAAAGGACCCGCTGGAACGGGCCCTCAGCGCCCCCGTCATGGCGGGTCGAGGAGGGGAGGGAAAGGGCGGGATGGGGAGCGCTGGGCCCGGGGCCGGTCGGGGGCTCGCCCGCCCCTCACGTAAAACCGTTTTGAGCCCCCACCCCCTTTATATTTTTATTTTTCGACAAGTGAGCCTTGAAATCCTAAGCCCTGGAGGCGGGTCCAGCCCGTTTCCTGGTTCACCCTGGTTTAAGTTGGGCTTTCCCCTCCTCTACATGTAATTAGAAAAATATAAATGTATTCCAGTGTTAGGACAAAACCTTGCCTAGATATCCCTGGTTTGAACTTTAGCTATTAAAATCCGCAGACTTAAGCGAGAGTGAGCATTCATAACACCATGGAGATAAATAGTATTTCAGCATTTGTGGGAGACCACCTTTACAAACGCTGTTGTGGCTTTATGGGAACTAAGTAAATGATTTTTGCAGGATATGGGCCGTATAAATTGCCTTGTAGTTTCCGGTTGCCTGCCTTGTACATAAATGGCACCAAATTTATGAATAAAAATAAAGATGCCATATGTGGTTGGGGCTGCAGTGGGGTTTCCTGCAGGAGATGGGCGTCTGTGCTGACCCTCGGGGGAAGATTTGGAAGCACGAATGCTAAAAGGTGTTAAGGGCAAGTTTGCTTTTATTGTCGTGAGTATTGACTATCATGAGGAAATGAATACGCAATGGCGTTCCCTGCTTGTTCTTGCGCTAGGTGTGTGGCAGGACTGCTGGGTGTAATCCAGACAAGAACACAGCTCGGGCTGCAAGGGGGTTCGTCCACAAAGGTTTGAAACCACCAAGGATAATTATAAAAAAAACCAAAAACCAAAAACAAAAAAAAACCCCCAAAACTTAGTGACTGCTACCATTTTTATGACTGAAGCCACCAAAACGTTAGTGTGGATGCACTGAGGTGTTATCCTGCCATGATGGCTGTTGAGGAGCAGTGGAAGCACAGCGCTCCCTGCCCTGCTTTCCTGCGGTTCACCCGTGCTTGTGTCCTGGTGTGCTTCCCAGTGTCCTGAGTTGCTGACCGGGAGGAGTATTCAGCCTCCCACGTTCTTTGCAAGCACCATTTGGTCATGCAAGAAGGGAGAGTGGACTGGTTTTCAGCATGGTCTGTCCTTCCCCACGCTGGTGTAGTTTCTCCTTCGAGTACTCCTAATCTAAAAAAGGTCTGTGAGCCAGCCTGAATGAGAGGGCTCTCCCTCACAGGAGCAGGAGAGACTTGGGAAGGCCTTGGTTCAGCTTCACATGTGGCTCAACTGATAGTCTTCATACAATCATCCCCTTAGAAGTGCTGCCTCCCCCTGTAAATGGCATGACCTTTTCAATCAGATCTAGACTACCAGATTTGCTAAGAGGTCGCTAACTTTAAAGAGGTCATTTGGGTTTAGTATTGCCATTTTTTGGTTTTTAGCTCTATTATCGAGGACATTTTCTCCCAAAATTGGGTTTCATCCAAGCTCTTGGCTCTTTAGTGTGTTTTTCTTAAATAATTTTGTCAGACAAATCACCACCTCCAGTCTTCAGCAGAATGTAATACCACCACTTATTACACTAAGAAATACACATTAAATTATTGTATACTTACATGCATCATTGTTTTTATTAAGCACTCAGTGTGTGTTCAGTGCAGTACAAACATTAAACAAGATTATTCTTCCCCTGGTGAATTTACAGTCTGAAAGAGCTTCATAGGAAGGAGTAGTAATAACATATCATTAAAACACCACCTTTAATTTAATCCCTTTTTGTTTCCCTGTGGTTAATGCTCATTTGCTGTTGATCATGACCGGTGTATCCTGGCATGTCATGCGGTGCTGTTTTATGATGTTACAGCCCCCAGTTGTCCACTCTGCCCCTCTGCAGGAGGTTCTTGTTCAGCATGAGTGGAAGAAGAGAGCATATGTCTATGTTTCAGCTGCTGCAGTACAAAGCCCAGCAGCATAGCTGAAACCCACCTTTGATGGTACTCTACACTAAGACCTTGATTGTTGTATCAAGGCACTGTTTCCTTCTGCCACCTCGGCTTCCTGTAAGGACAGCTGGAAATACTAATGTCTTCAACAGCTGCAGCAAGATTCTCTGAAGCTCATGTGTTAAAAGCCTGAGAGAAAAGACATTGCAAGATGCAAATGGAAACGGGCATCCAATTTTCACTGATGCCTGTTGGATTTAGGTGCCTAATTCACTTTTACATCTTTATAGTAGCATCATTTTAAGGGAGAATTCTGTAGCCAATGGGATTTTTTTTTGAGAGATGGGAGCTTTCTTGGGCAGAGCACATCATATGACTTGGACTGTAAAAGGAACTGATACTCCCCAAGGGAAGCAGGACTCTTGAACTGAAGGAGTTGGCAGGTTGGAAATTTTTTAAGTTTATCTGCTTATTTAAAGAGTCACAACATAGTTGTCTGCCCTGAAACAATTTCTGTTCCAGTTTCTGCTCTGGATAGCATGTAGTTGTCAGAGAAATTATTTCAGAGACAAATTTTTAAAAGTAGCCACTGAAAGTACGCTGCTTTCTGAAAATAGCTTTATGCTGAGTAAGCTAGAATGAATAGTGGTTGTAATAGTTTTTTTAAAAGTGAGGTTGACTATCCACTAAAACAAATTTTAAAGGAAAATTCTGTCTCCTGAAATTTTCAAATCAAAATGTGATCCTATTTTGGAAGTTGTAGTCAAGCTCAAGTTATGGAATTTATTATTGAGGTTACTGATTAAAATTTTTGGAGCTATACTGTAGAGGAGGTTAGCATAGATTGATCTAATTATTGGCTTTTTCTGGCCTTAATAGCTGTCATCTGTGTCTGTAGTTGGGTGCAACAGTAGGATTGTGCTGGCAAGGACTAGACAAGTATGTTGGGTAAATACAGAATGTGTATTGATTGCTGGGGGAAGGAGGAAGTATGGTGGCTTTATTATTGTCTTTATTGTGGTAAATTGATTTACTGGAGGAGAGGGAGAAGTTAATTCTTCGCATTAATCATGCTATGTTCCAAGGCCCAAAAAGTAATGAGTATCACTCCCTTCTGTAAAGGTGTTTTGTGTTTTTTTTTACTGTAAAAAAGAGAATGTTTCTTTGGTTATTGTCCTCTGCTGCTTCTCATGTTTTTTGCTTGCTTTTTAAAATGCTACAGAGATGAAACACCCATTTATGCACATTTTAATTCCTGATTTTGTGTTATAAACAGGTTAGGATTTGACTATGGCAGTGCAGTTCCTGCGGAAGGCATCTGTGTGGTTAAAGAAGCGCAAGATCCCTTTGTTGGCTGTTACTTGCGTGGGACTGTTTGGCACTGACCTTTCCTATCATGTGTTTCCTGAGCAGACATTCAAACTGTTGCATGAGTGCTGGTCAGAGGGCCAGCCAGCTGAGCTTTCACAGAGGCTCTGTGGTGTCTTTCAGGATGTCCTTCAAGATACTGATGTGAAGTCCACTGACTCCTATCGAGCCTTTGCAGCTTCTGGCTTCCACCCTGTGAGTGCTGGAATCCCCTGGCTGCCCGCAGGCTCTTTGGTGGGCATCCCACCTAACTTTGATAGCACAGCTGAGGATAAAAAAGGAATAGTCAACCATGTTGTTGTGATCAATGGCAAGGAAGTAGACTGGGAGAGCAACGAAGGTGTTGCTTTGAAAGAAGCTCTGACTTTTTCACTTAAAGCTCAGAAGTTTGCCATTGCCAGAGAAGTTGTGTATTTGCAGAACGGCAGTCCTTTAGTGAGTGCAGTTGTGGCTCCAGCTTGCTTAGCTGGTACATTTCTCTGTGGGAAAGGTATAAAGCTACTTCTGGGTTTATCTCCTGGCCCCGTGATACTTCGCAGCATCTGTAACCTCATAACTGCTGCTGGTGGACTGATGTGCTACTACGTTTCTTACGACGCTGTGACCTATCACCTAGACTGCAAGGCTGACAGAAAGGCAGCTACTGTTTCCAAAGACTATGCCAGAGGTGGGGTTGAATTTTATGATAAAATCTTGTCCCGCAACAGGATTCTTCGTGGTCTGATGGGCAAACAAGGGACGAAAATTTATTCCCCAAGTGGTAACCTTTTCCCAAGGCACTGGTTCAGAATAAAGTATACCCCATACACTTACCGAAGAGATTTGATTGTTAATATTTTAAGAGAGCTCCAGGCATAGGAAGGGAGTGCTTGAATTTTAAACTTGTGAATTATGTATTCTCTTGGAACACTGCTGTGCTGCCTTTTTTTTTTTTTTTTTTTTTTTTTTTTTTTTTTTTTTTTTTTTTTTTTTTTTTTTTTTTTTTTTTTTGCTGTATCTTCATTAGAATTGTGGGATTTATTTTGCATATAGTTCGGAAGGAGTTATTGCACATTCTGTGAATAAAGAATTCTCTCTTAAAATATTAAAGCCTCGCTTCAGAAGTGCTCTGTTCTGTGTGCATCTCAAATCACAAGACCACTAAGGAGGGGAACTTCTCAGACACAGATCTGGAAGTTCTGCTCTGCTGTCCTGCCAGTGCAGTAAGGAAAATGGAAAGGGTAAAGTCCAACAGAGAGTTTTGGGAGCATTATCATTTAAACAGGGGTGTTTGTATGTATGTTTGCCATTCCTCCTATGGAACAACCCGAAGACATTTAAAAAAACTGGTCAGCCTGTATCATGCTGTTACATAAATACCAAGCCACAATGTTTCTGTTCTGTGTAAGTTCTTGGGCTATGTAAATTCTTATGCTGCAATCGCCATTCTTCAGTATGGCACACTAGTTATGCTTCAGTCCGTACAAATACAGCTGGATTATTACCAGCACCTGCATCATTTTGCTTAAATCTGTTCCTGCTCTCTACGTGACATGGTGACTGTAGCATGTATGTCATGAATGTTTCCCAGCAGTGGTGGTATGTAACATGACTGTCATGGGTTGGTTGGTTTCTTACAGGTGGGATAAGCATGTTCAGGAGAGGGTTTTCTGTTTGCTTTGGTAGGATTTTTGTTTAATTTAAAAATACATATAGATGTATGTAACCTTATATGTCAAAGGCGGCAAGGTATAAAATAAGTCTGGTGTTTAGTGCAGAAACTGGTGAGGTCTGTGATGAAGAGTTGCCAAAGGAAATTATTCTTCTGTTTCAGATTAGCTTAAGAAGATTTTGTCTGGCAGACCGAGCTTTGCCCAGGATTACTAATCCTCTGGAAAGGTCTTCAGTGCACGGGCAATAAACTTTCCACTATGGCCTCACCTTGAAGCTTTTATGTGATGTCCAAGATGATAGTTCTCAAAGTTTGTAGTTCCCTCTTTTCTGTGTTTCTGTTGCAGCGATTCCAGTAGCCCTCCCTGGTGGCATCACAGCAGTTCTCCTCTGCTGTCGTTCTTACAGGAAACTTCTAGTATTTTGTATCTTCTCAGTCACAGAAGTGCTGAGTGTCCTGTCTGCCCTGGTTTGTCCTTTCTTCATCTGCTACAATAATAACTGTCATGCCTGTGTTTGCTCAAAGCATTACTGAGTTCTGTTGTCCCTTTGAATCACACAGTGACATAAAGTTGATACACTGGCTGCTGAGGCGCTGGCGTTGCTTTACATTGCTGAAGCCCTATATAGAGGATGTTTGGATTTCTGCTGAAGTAATCTGTGTCAAGTTTTTCTGGACCACCACCTATCACTTGCACTTGTCCTTGAAGAATCAAGTCATGAGATGCCTCTTAGGTGCTTTCTGGCTATAGGGCCTGATGTTATTTTTCTTGTGACCTTCGTGAAAGAGTTTGACAAAATCTCCTAGTCTGTGGAATAAAAGGAGATTTCACCTTTAGGCAGGGAGCTTTCAAAGCTTCAGGCTAAATTTTGACTTCTCTTCCAGGTAAATCCAATATAACAGGCCAAGATAGAGGTTTTACTGGTTGAGTGATGTAGTGACTTGAGATTGGAATGTAACTGCTGTTTTATATAGCCCGTGACTTCAATTCATCCTTGTGTTACTCCAGACAAGTCTAACCTCCATGAAACGTTCTCAGAGAGAACTTGGCCCACTTGTTTTATGTGGTTTAAGGAACTGCTACTACATAAAGAGAGCAGAGAGGAAACAGAGGCCGCCTTTGAGATTTACAACAAGTAGCAGTTTAAACAAAATTCAATTAATCTGCTTGCCTCTTACCACTCCTTACTGCTGCTTTTCATCAAGATGCCTGCAGCTAGTGCTGTTACTTAACATTTTCTGGTTGTAAAGCCCCAGTGATGCTAATGGGTTTTGCAGTTGTGCACTCTGCTCTACTTTTACAGCTGGATTCTCCAAGAAGCTCCATCTATCTATAAGTGCTGTGTCTGATTTACCCTTCTTTGAACTTGCTGTGGCATATTAGTGTTAGTAAGGGAGGGCTGGCTAGTATTAATATGCCCTTGCCTTCCAAAGAGATGTTCTTTGCCAAGGGCTTACACACCTCTGTCTCTATATAGTCAAGCTCCTGTTATCACCATCTGTGTATTCTGGAAGAGTAGTGCTTTCAATATAAGGGAAATGGGAGTTGAAATCACAACTGCTAATTAAGATTTCCCTGAACTTTGGGAATGTGTGTGTGGGTTGTCCTGGAAAAGGTTTGTATCGTGTGTGTTGCCAGGTAATTGTTGCTGCAAGATCACCCATGCTGTTTGGCATAGCATTTGGAATAGCACAACTCAAATATACGACCATGAAAATACTCATGCAAGGTCTTGCAATATTGCAAATGTTTTTCTGCAAGTGTAACTTCCAATGAAATCAAATAGGATTTCCACATACTGGTGACAGAAATGGTCTAGTTTTGAGAGTTCGATAGAAGAAAGGACCCCAGAATTGAAGGTGAAAACATTGATTGATTGTGCTCTTCTGTGCTAAGAACAGTCTGATGGGGAAAGGCAAGTTCATTCAGTGGCCCAGAGGAGCCCCAGTGAATCAGTTTTTAAATAATGTCAGTGAACAGCCTTATTGTCTCCCCCAGCTCTGAAGCTGAAACTCTGAGGAGTTCAGAAAACTTGTTTTAGTAGCAACAGGCTTCTCTTGCACTACTCAGATGAGGCAGACTTCGCAGATTTTTTTTGATAGAAAAGCAACAGAAAATGTTCAGCAAAGGGAATTATTAGGAGATGGGGATGTAGGAAGTCTAAGCCAATAAACTGTAAAACCGACGGTGTGAAGGAAAGAACAAACTCTTGTAAAAATGGATATTGTCTACAAAAATGAAGCGCTCTTTCTGTCTGAGTCAAGTGATTAAAGGATGAAATATGAGTTGCAAATGACCAAAATGAGTTGCAAGTTTGAATTTATACACAATCTAGTTTAAAGAGGGATTTCCTTGGCTGGTTTATTTGTTATGGTCCTGAATTTTCTAGATAACTGAAAAGAAAATTATCCTTGTAACTTAATTTTTATATAAATGTAATGCTGCTGCTACATAAAGCTTTAGTGGATAATATTTGAAGAGACAAGAGCCACCTGGGTGCTTGCTCAGAATTTCCACTGGTGTGCAAGAAATGCAGGGTCTGGCTCGCACGTTTCTTTCCTTATCCTAAAAATTGTGGTTTCTTGTCATGGACGTGCCTTCAGCTTGTTTCATGGTCAAAACCATAAAACTGTCAGAAATAGAGTAAGACTGAGAGCCAGGCAGTTTTTTTGAAGACAAATTAACTGTAGAAATTGTCTGATTTAAAGTAATTTCTGAATCAGCTGCTCTGGGTATCTGGCTCCTCTTGCAGGTTACAGGAAGAAGGAGCTTCAGAGGTGACTTCCAAGAGAGAAATCTCTACCCAGGTGGCATTTGAGTAAAGAATGTCCCCCGTGGTATTGCCAGAAGGGCTTCAGTTGAAGTGTAGCAGTCCTTTAGGAAACAGCACTTTTTATTACAGTAGAGCACTGTTATCACCCCTTTTGACATTAAAGTGGTTTTCAGAACCTGACGGATAAGATGATGAGAGAGCTGACTCGAAGCTGTGGAGCCTGTTGCCCTACGGGGTAAGCTGGTGGTGTTGGGAGAGGTGATGCTGGAAACCGAGCCTACTGCTGTCGTTGTTGCCCTTGGCCATAGCAGTTGTGAAACAACCGCTGCGACAAAGTGTGGCTTGGGTGGGAGTGAATTAAAATGTATGAATCAAATCATCATGACTGAATCACAGGCGGCTTTCATTAAAGGAAGAAATGCAGAGAATCAGAGTGAGTACTGCTATATGCAGTCATTGTGGGCACCATTAAAACAACTGTAGGCATCTCCACTATGTGGAAATGCAATTCCTAGCAAGCTGCAGACACTGAGGCAAGTATGTGGGCCATATCCTGCAACTGTTACCCGCTCATGTTCATTAAAAGTTTCATGTAGCAGGTGTGATTAGATGAATATAAAAATGATTAAGTTGCAGACAACCTGCCATCCATGCATGCACCAGTTCCTCCTTGATTTCATTCATCTCAGCTGGAAGTGTATATAACTGAACGGCAGAATGTGCTGGTAAGCAGAGGAATGCTGATATAGGAAGACATAATTAAGATCTCAGAATAAGGAGAACGCTGTCAGGAAGAGAGAGAAGCTGAGTTTGGTTGTTATCAAAACTAGACTTAAGAACAGAAAAACAATGTAATTATCCTCTAGGAACTGGTATGTTAGACAAATTAAATCTGAAGGAGCTGAAGAATGGCTTATGGATATTTTGCTGGGCTGCTTTTTCACTGAGAATATATCAGTTTGTTTAGCTGAAGTGAGTATATTCAAGCTGCTCAAACTGCCAGATCTGTAAAGTGGAGAAAATTCCTAAAATTTGGCTAGAAATCAGTCTGTCTTTCCCATCTGGAAAAAAAAGGGATTTTTTTGGACAAGCCAAACTCTTAAGCTTCATAGCCAGAAATGAACACTGAAATGTCTCTGCAGTTGGGAGCTCTCACTCTCCTCAGTCAAGACCAAGTTTGCCATTATGTATCCTGATCTCCAGTCTTGAGAGAAGGAGTTTGTGTCCAAAAATGCTCTTTAGAAAACACAGCCAGCCCAGGTGTATGTTTATTTCCCCTCACCTTAGGCTTTTTGTACTCCTTACTGCAGAAACCTTTTGTGATACCATGCGCTTGTGCAGTACCTACTATGATGTGACCTCTGCCTAACAACAAGCTTCCTGTGTATGGAAGTGATTAAGCATGTTGGGCCTAAAGTTTGAAGAAAGAACTGTCCCCCA